CCCCCCCCCCTCCTAGTCCAATTAGGACCAGAGGGGGGAGGGGCGCGCGGCCCATGCTGGCCGCCCCTCTCTCCTTTCCCCTAAGGCCCATAGGCCCAATACTCTCCCGGGGGGTTCCGGTAACCCCCCCGGCACTCCGGTTTTCTCCGAAATCACCCAGAACCTTTCCGGTGTCCGAATATAGTCGTCCAATATATCAATCTTTATGTCTCGACCATTTCGAGACTCCTCGTCATGTCCGTGATCACATCCGGGACTCCGAACAAACTTTGGTACATCAAAACTTATAAACTCATAATAAAACTGTCATCGAAATGTTAAGCGTGCGGACCCTACGGGTTCGAGAACTATGTAGACATGACCTAGAACCATTCTCGGTCAATAACCAATAGCGGGACCTGGATGCCCATATTGGTTCCTACATATTCTACGAAGATCTTTATCGGTCAAACCGCATAACAACATACATTGTTCCCTTTGTCATCGGTATGTTACTTATCCGAGATTTGATCGTCGGTATCCAATACCTAGTTCAATCTCGTTACCGGCAAGTCTCTTTACTCATTCCGTAATACATCATCTCATAACTAACTCATTAGTTACATGCTTGCAAGGCTTAGGTGATGAGTATTACCGAGAGGGCCCAGAGATACCTCTCCGACAATCGGAGTGACAAATCCTAATCTCGAATTATGCCAACCCAACATGTACCTTCAGAAACACCTGTAGAGCACCTTTATAATCACCCAGTTACGTTGTGACGTTTGGTAGCACACAAAGTGTTCTTCCGGTAAACGGGAGTTGCACAATCTCATAGTTGCAGGAACTTTGTATAAGTCATGAAGAAAGCAATAGCAGTACACTAAACGATCAAGTGCTAGGCTAACAGAATGGGTCATGTCAATCACATCATTCTCCTAATGATGTGATTCCACTAATCAAATGACAACACATGTCTATGGTTAGGAAACATAACCATCTTTGATTAATGAGCTAGTCAAGTAGAGGCATACTAGTGACTATAGTTTTGTCTATGTATTCAAACATGTATTATGTTTCCGGTTAATACAATTCTAGCATGAATAATAAACATTTATCATGATATGAGGAAATAAATAATAACTTTATTATTGCCTCTAGGGCATATTTCCTTCAAGTAATTGCCGTGGTCCCTAGACCGTGCGGAGAGATAAAAATTATGATCGTAGTAGTGTTTAAGTCATGTCGTTTCAAGTTTAATGTGCAACATTTAGTACGAGTTCAAAATATGCAGTGAATTAATGTGCTTATGTTCATGTTCCAAATATTAGGGCACCAATTTTTGGTATTTTAGAAAAGCAGGAAGTTTTCTGGTGACCAAAAACCTTTCATTCACCGAATTATTTTTGCCTACTTAACTACTTGCAATAATTTACTTTTGCATATTTTACAGCTGTTTTTTCCTCACCAAATTAATAAAATATATTCCATTGATTAGCAATCATAAGCTTAGCCTTTTTATAGCTATTTTCCATATCAAATTGTCAGATAATTTGACAGTTCAACAGTCACAAACTTAGCCTCAAACTAACTAATTTCTAACCCTTTTCATTCTCAACTGAGTAGAGGGTTGGCATGATGAGAGTTCTTTCCATTTTATGTTGTCTGAAGCCAAGCCTCAAAGATATAATGATGGAACATTAAAGCAACTTGTTTTCACATCAACCTAAACTTAGAAAGAGAAAATAATCTATGGATCATGCAGCCTCAACCATAGTAGTATAAAGTTTGCTCTGTCTTGGTTGTGTCATTCTCTTTGCTAGTTCTTAGATTTTGGCTAGTTTAGGTTTGCTCTGGTTTCTGCTTTGTCCCATTTTTTTCCTTTGCCTTTTTCTCGGTGTTCTTCTAATACTACAAAACAACATTTGAGAGAAGAAATTGTTTTCACATAAAAATATGTGCTTAAGAAAAACTTGTTTTTCACATCGATCTGAAGATTCTGAACCATTCACTGAGAGGAAAGTTGAGAGTCATCGATGTGGGATGGAGGAGGGGGTATAAAACTATAAATGCAGTTATTCATTTCACTGTCGAAAGCTTACAAGCCGAAAGGGAACAACATTCACGCAGCAGCCTTGAGCTTACAAGAAAACGGAAAGATACTTCTGCATAACATTAACATGCGAACCATAGTGTCGAACCATTCACTGACTTCATTTCGTGCCATTTCTACTTACTTCCCTATTCTCCGAGAGCGAACGCGGCTGCATCATGGATGTCAGACAGACCGGTGTCAGTCTTGACGGTGACCTTATCAGCAGAAGACTTATCCACATGGACCTCGACCAAAGACAGCTCCTCGACCTTGACCCCGGTGACCTTCTTGATCTTGCCCTTCTCCACAAAAGCGGTCACCTCGGTGTCGTAGGAGACAGTCTGCTGGATCTTCTTGAAGGTGTGCTGGTTCTTCTTCTTCTGAAGCATCCACACGAACCCGCTCTCGCGGTTGTACCCGATTTCCTCAATGTCGTCCATTGGAAAGAGGCCTTTCGGGAGGCCGAACTCTTCAAGGAGCTCGACAGACTTCTTCTTGCAGACTTCGCGCCCCTTGATGACATCGGCCCCGGCGCGGTGGCTCTCGACCAGCTGGGACGCCATTGGAGCACTTGTCT